AGTTTGTAACGAAAAAAAAAATCGAATGTCATACACGCTTAAATGATTTTGACAATTCGTGTCAAGGTGCATGACTAGAGAGACCTTGTCATTCTTACTCGTAACTATATGCTCTCCCTTTTCGAATTACGAACGTAGATCGAAACAATATAGTTTATACATATTTAAAATTTCAAATGTCTCTAATGAAAAATTCTGCCACATGTGACCTTTTTTTGATCGATCTTATTGGTAAATTATTTGACATTTAATTTGTCGATATGAGTCGAAATAAAGTAAAAGGAAATTTCTGTTTTTTTTTTTTTTCTTTTTGTTTTACGACCACAGAACAAATATATATATATATATGTATATATTAATTTTTTTTTTTTTAATTTATAACATTTGAAAACAAAAAAATTTGTAAACATGACGTTCCACCTAATATACAATAAGTGAAATAAATGTACAAGTTATTTTTATTGGTTTCAAATCAATTCATTATTTTTATACGAAAGATAGTATAATAGCTTCAGGGCTTGATGCTTATCTCTGAATTTAAATTGACATATACGAAGGGCTTCTAGAAACGAAGTCAAGGATATTTGCTTTCTTTTCTTATTGGTCGTCATATTAGCACTCGTATTTATTGAAGAATCAAAAATGATAAATATACGAATATTTATAAATACAGAGAGTTAAGAGAATTGTTTATATTTAAAACAAATAAAAGAGAAAAAAGATTGAAATAATAAATTAAAAGAAATTAAAGTTTTATTGTAAGTATTTCACACAAAGTGAAATTTATTCGAGTTAACAAACAAACTTAAATATTAATAACTTTTTTTTTTGTCTCTTGAAGCAATGCGCGGTTCATATTATTGGCCGAGGCGATGGAACAACGAAGGTAATGCAGATTTCTACCTTTGTGTTATCCTTTGTAGCTGTTGCCGTCAGCATGAACAAATTGTATTTGTAATCTTACTTAATCGGTAATTATTCTGTTGATATAGTAGTTTTCTTTATAGTGTATTTATGTAATTATCAATAATTTTTTTTTTTTTTTTTTTTTTTTTTTTTTTTTTTTTTTTTTTTTTTTTTAATTTAAATACATTTATCCAATCACATCGATTAAAATCGTAAATTGTATATAAAACTATACGATATGTCATAAATGCACTTTCGCTTTATTTAATTTATAAATTGTAATTTTTTTGCTTTATTTAATTTATAAATTGTATGAATTTGAATGTTTAATTCTTAACTATTTTGCGATTATACAAGGTCGCCCATAAGTCGGTTGACAAAAATGCATTATTATTATATAGGATTAATTTAGAAACGTTTAAAGCCATATAGGTAATAAATAATTTAATACAAAAAGACTACAATAACATATTTCTAATTTACGTTAAGATGTTAAACGTTATCTGTGTGACTTAACGATTGTAAATTAAACTTATTTACAATAATAATGCATTTTTGTCAATTGGTTTTATAGACCACCTTATATTTTTTGAATGCTTAATAATTATAATTGCTTTTGATTTGTTTGTATCAACTAATATTATTCTTATCTATATTGATGTTTTCCTTTTTGTAGAAAACTTTTCGAAATATAAATCGGTTTTAGAATTTTTCAAACTAAATTCGCGTCTAAATGTTCTGTATCTATTATGCAAAGAGGCTCGTTTCTCGAGCCTTGAGTATTCAGAAAACCAGAACCACTTTCTCGTGACTCGTTCGTGTTGATCGTACGAAGATGTAAAACTTCCATATGAATAAATACAAGATACATGCGCGAGAAATACGTATATGTTATATTAAAATCGAATAAATTGTTTTCAATGATATAATGCCATTATTTTGTTTATGAAGAAAAAATCTGCGATAAGAAATATCATTTGCGAGATATAAATGGAAAATTGAAAAGTTTTATTATTCATTCCAAATCTCCATGAACTTGAAATCAGAATGTTCAACCCGTATTTCAAATGTGCAAGAATGCGAATGATAATGACTTATTGATATATTTGTATCGAATACAATGCCTAGATTATAACAATTCATTTTCTCGGTCAAGCTGATTAATATATTGTTCTGTCATGTGTAGAATTAAGTAGAACTAATTTTCTAAGTAGATTTTATTATACCACAAAAATGAATACGCACGTTAACAAAAAATGCAAAAATATTTTTCGGATAAAAAGGTACGATATGATAGTAACACGAAGCTAATGTCAAAAGTTTCTTTTTTAACGATTGTAACATTTAATAATATCGTTATTTATATTCTATGTGATTATAAATGCATTAGGTAAAGCAATGACATACAATGTGAAATATAAGAAAAATATTTTTTTTTCTTTTTTTTCTTGTTTTTTTTTTTCAATATAAATTTAGTATCATTTTCTTTTTCTTTTTTTGTTTTTTTGTTTTGACTCATAAGAACGACTTTTAAACACGCAATTGTGTGTAATTAATTATGAAATTCAAAACAATCACTTGATTGGAGAACTCACTCATGTCGTGTTCAATAAGATAAAAGAAGAGATATACTGGTACGAATGTTCAGTTAGTCGCGCGCACTACACACGCCAACGTTTTCTCTATCATATAAGAACGAAACGGCTTTAGGTTATCGCTGAGGTTCTTCTCTTATCGTTACAAAATTTTTCTTTCCTTTCCCCTTCCGGACAATAAACACTCGTCTGAGGAAACATGAAAACGCGCGACGTTTGGGGACCTTGTCAGTAGAACGGTGCGCGGTATATAGCGATGCTCTGGAGTAGAAGTATTCTTTACAGGATTGCCCTAAGAACGAGAAGGACACTTTTCAAATCTTCTCTCAGGTATAAAAGATTGCCAATCTCGGCTGAGCGTAAGTTGACAATCTCGAACTTAATCGTAAATATCATAAAATATTTTGAAATAATTACTTCTTTTTTTTTTTTCCTTTTTTCTTTTTTTCTCTCTTCATTTCATTCATTCTAAATAATATCGGAAGAATATTTTTTAATAGTATTAATTTTAATTTAGAATAAAGTACATTTTTAGAAATATATATGTGTGCATATTTTGTAATTAGCCATATTAATTATAAATATTTCTTTAAATTTTATAATAGTATGATATTCTTTTGAAGAGATAAGATATTTAATTGCTAGATCGTGTTCCTTTATGTGCATTTAAATATTTTATAAAAGAAAAAAAAAAAAAAAAAGAAACTTGCACTGCCCGGGAATCGAACCCGGGTCGCAAGAATGGGAATCTTGCATGATACCACTACACCAGCAGTGCTACTTGCACGGAGAGTAATATTTATCAATAGATATGTTTCCTTACTTAATAAACAATTGTATTTTTATTATTATAATTTTACAAAATGAAATATAATTTCGTATCAATTATGCGAATTCTTTATATGTCATTCTTTTTAATGACACATTTAAAATGACCAAGTTATTGAATTATGTTGACACCACATCACGCGTATTAGCTGACGCAAACTATTGCTCAAGTTTTATTACTTCACGAGTCACGTTCATCGATTCGAATTACGTTGATCTACTCTGAGCATACAAGAAAGAGACTAGAAATTTATCTTTTATGTCATTTTATTAAACTTTGATCTTGATCTGGTCACAAATTAATTTCAATTGATTTTATAGAAGCAACGTTGTTCCTATTTTAACAATGATTTAATAACAATATCGACAGCATTATTTAAAAAAAAAATAAATTGTTGAAATTGTTTGAAAAGAAATTAAATTAGGATTAATTGCTTGAAAGGCCATCCTTTTTCTTTCTTTAATTCTTTTTTTTTTCTTTAATTCTTTTTTTTTTAACGTTCATTTGAACATTTAAATAATACGACCAGAAAATAAAGAGAATTTTTTGACACGTAAAAAATACAAAATAGAACAAAAGAAAAATAAAACCATAAACCTTAGAAATGATAACGACTTTGCGTCAGCTTTTCTGATCTACATTAATATTAGATCTAAGGATTGCATTTTGTATAGGCTATATTTTTTATCGACATAAAAAATGTAGTAAATATATTTGTACAATTAGATTATAAAATAAAGTATAATAAAAATTATAAAATGGATTAGTTTCTAATTGTGATTAGTTCTATTTTTAAATTTAGACTTCGACTTCGATATTTGTGCCTGAATACAAGATCTATTAGCTTTTCTATATATATAATAGTTATCTATTAGCTTTTTTTTATCTAGCAAACAGTTATATATATAACTAAGTAGAAAGAATTTGTATAGAAAATATATATAACGTAATGTTTGCTTACACTCACCAAAGTATTTTTTGTTTACTTTTATCGTTATATCTCAAGTTACCATTTATAAGTTCTTATTTAAAGTGCATATCCTTCTGATCTAGCTGTATATTGCTGTTGTACTTTCTTTTTTTTATTGAGCGCAATCGTCTGTTCTAATGGTATATTATGTGTATTATTATTATTATTATCATTATTATTATTATTATTATTATTATTATTATTATTATTATTATTATTATTATTATTATTATTATTATTATTATTATTATTATTATTATTATTATTATTATTATTATTATTATTATTATTATTATTATTATTATTATTATTATTATTATTATTATTATTATTATTATTATTATTATTATTATTATTATTATTATTATTATTATTATTATTATTATTATTATTATTATTATTATTATTATTATTATTATCATCATCATCATCATCATCATCATCATCATCATCATCATCATCATCATCATCATCATCATCATCATCATCATCATCATCATCATCATCATCATCATCATCATCATCATCATCATCATCATCATCATCATCATCATCATCATCATCATCATCATCATCATCATCATCATCATCATCATCATCATCATCATCATCATCATCATCATCATCATCATCATCATCATCATCATCATCATCATCATCATCATCATCATCATCATCATCATCATCATCATCATCATCATCATCATCATCATCATCATCATCATCATCATCATCATCATCATCATCATCATCATCATCATCATCATCATCATCATCATCATCATCATCATCATCATCATCATCATCATCATCATCATCATCATCATCATCATCATCATCATCATCATCATCATCATCATCATCATCATCATCATCATCATCATCATCATCATCATCATCATCATCATCATCATCATCATCATCATCATCATCATCATCATCATCATCATCATCATCATCATCATCATCATCATCATCATCATCATCATCATCATCATCATCATCATCATCATCATCATCATCATCATCATCATCATCATCATCATCATCATCATCATCATCATCATCATCATCATCATCATCATCATCATCATCATCATCATCATCATCATCATCATCATCATCATCATCATCATCATCATCATCATCATCATCATCATCATCATCATCATCATCATCATCATCATCATCATCATCATCATCATCATCATCATCATCATCATTATGTTTTTATTTTACTCATTTTTAAATTACTTATGTTTTTTGTAATTTGCTTTCTATAGATTAGTCACGAATTTATCTTAATTAATTTTTGAAAAAGCAATATTGTTCGCTATTTAACAATAATTTAACTAACAACGATATCGGCAACATTTAAAATGAAGAACTGTTCGTCAAGAAAAAAAAGGAATAACAAAAAAATATACTTGTGCGATGGCCGGGAATCGAACCCGGATCAACTGCTTGGAAGGCAACTATGCTGACCATTACACCACCATCGCACTTAGGAAAGTCTTTTTCAACTATCAAAATGAACTCCAATTATTTTCATATTTTCTATGTATTCACATTATATTTGTTCTTTTTTTTTCACATTAATCTACTCGTTATTCATAATTTTTCTAAACTCTTTACGATCCATTACGAGTTTCATCCACGAACATTCTGGAAACTTGAGTAAATTGCACTCACGTTTCATCGTCAACCACAAAATTATCTTTTCGTAATAAAAATAGTAATAATGATAATGATAATAATAATGATAATAACAATAATAATAATAATAATAATAATAATAATAATAATAATAATAATAATAATAATAATAATAATAAATCCGCATCACTTAACGAGAAAGCGTCGGTTTTCACAGAAAGCGAAGTGCGCGATAAGAGTATTTTTCTTTTCTTTATTAGAAAGCGTTTGATATGTATTTGCCTCGTTATTAACATAATTATTAATATAACCAATATTTCTTTATAACTATCGTAAGATAGTTTGAAAGTTTGAAAAGACAAAGAGATCAGTATTATTAAACTGATATTTTTTGTTTTCTAAACCTACTTATAATGGATTAGAATAAGATATGATAATAAATTAAAAACGTGAATGAGAGAGAGAGAGAGAGAGATCAGAATAAAATAGAAAATAATAGTATTGTAAAAAGAGAAAGGGAGAAAAAGAGATTAAAAAGGGATAGAGTATTATATAGAGAGAGGGGGAAAATAGATTAGAAAGAGACAGAGAGTAATAGTTTCATTGAGAGAAGGAGAGTGGAGGGGGGATAGATTAGAAAGAGCCAGAGAATAATAGTCTCATCGTAAGAGAGAGAGAGAAAGAGAGAGAGAGAGAGAGAGAGAATGAGTGAGATTAGAAAGAACCAAAGGATAATAATATTGTCGAGAGAACGTGAGAGAAAAAGTTAATTTTTCTTGACTCTTTAATGGTAACCAAAGAAAGACTAGTGTTGTTTTCAACGAAGAACAATGTTGAAGAAAATAGGTCGAGCTCGACGCGCAAGCGAATCTAACTCGCATGAAGACGTTGGAATACCGCACCTAATGTTCTCTCTTTCTTTCTCTCTCTCTCTCTCTCTCTCTCTCTTTCTTTATGTTTTTCTTTCTTTCTTTCTCTCTCTTTTCCAACCATGAGCTACGAAGTCCATTAGCCTCGGGGCCATTGTCGCTTTCACTGGCCGGAAGTCTGTATTGCCACGAGGTGGAGACTTCCGGCAGCAAGCGTAAGACGACAAGTTTTAGCCTTGGCTAAGCGGCACCTTTTGTTCTCCTTACCTCGACTGGAACGAATGTTACTCTTTTCAATGGAACATTCACTGATTATTATGAATTTTATTTATTTCTTTTTTATTTATTTATTTATTTATTTATTACATGAATAATAAAAGTTATCAATAATGAGTTTGCACAATTTTACGATAACTTTCAAAGTCATTTGCGAAAGAGAATTTTATTATACGGGTCACGCTTGGCTAAACGAAAACAAAAACAAAAACAAAAGAAAAAAAAGAAAAAAAGAAAAAAGAAAAAAGAAAAGTGAAAAGGAAAAGGAAATTATTGAATTAAGCAACAGAAATGAAAGATACGAAATATATGATATGATTCATGGAAAAATTAGAATGTAGAAAATAAATATAATCTATGGAAGATCCGAAGTCGATATTCCTTCTATTATACGTAGTTACGATGTTGGTAGTGGGGAGTGTTGCGAGTTAGAAAGCTCTAACATAAGCGGACGACGACGTACGCTTACGTACGTATTTACATACACATATATCGTAACATGTACATCGTATGTATATACGTAGAGAGAGGTTCGTGGCACCGTATCGTCTCTCGTCAGTGGAGTCTTGGCGCTCGGCGATCGCGGACGAGCCAAGACTTTGTATTCCTGTATATTTCGAGGCTGACGGTGTGAAAGAAAATAATCAAGTATTTGTTTTCGATCGGCTACAAATATATAAATATATATAGAGATCGTTCCATCGTGCGTAATTATACGATTTTTAAATAATATTTCTTCTGTGCGTGTATCTAATATAGTAAGTGAACAATTAATAATCTATAATTACATCTTTATTACCGATAAAATTTCGAAGGAAAATTTCAAAAAAAAAAAAAAAAAAAAAAAGAGGAAACGTTCACGGATGTAACGAAGCGCCACAAATAAAAGATTCGAACGTAAATTTACGATATAGAATGTATCTTGATTGAAACTAGAATTGATTTATTCTTCGATCTTGACTCTCGAGTGTTAATGACAGAATCTCTCGATCACTCGAGGTCAACGTTATTTTTCCGTTGGCACTCGTCTAAAGAACGGCTATTTTGATCGTCTATTATGGAGTATGTTGTACGATCGAGAACGAAACTATCTTTTTGACGTCACTTATGTGTTTTTCGTCTTGACTTTAATCGTTAAACCGTATCACTGTGCGCGAATATGGAAAAAATAAAAAAGAAAAGAAAAAAGAGGCGAGCTACGTTTAATTTCATTCTTCTTTATTCACATTTTCGTATCTCGATTTAAAAATGTTAGGTTCGTTGTACTTTCGTCTCTCACACAAAAAATCTAACAAAAATTCCAATGCTCTACTAGCTTAAAAATAGAATTTCTTAATCGTTACGTAATGCTGTTTTACTCATCCGTCGTTGTTTTGGTCATTAAAGTGAGAATAAAGAGAATAAAATTAAAGATAAAGGAGAAATAGTTATTAGATAAAAATCCTTGAGTATTTTATGCGTATTTTAAATAATTCATTTATTACAAACGATAAACGCAAATTGCCGAGGAAGTAAATATTTAAAAGCCTTTGGAATCGATCGATCACGGTGAGCGTTAGAAGAAAAAGAAAGAGAGAGGAAGAGAGAGAAAGAAAGAAAGAGAGAAAGAAAAGTAGAACGTTGGTAACAGAACTCTCGTTGAAAGCGAAACCCTTCGACGATGGTGCTCGCATTGCGATAAAGTACATGCATACATATGCATACGAAGAGACGCATACGGAAAGTAAAAGAGAGAAATAGAAAGAGAGAGACATGATATTGATTCGATTCGATTCGAAGCCAATTCATTATCAATAAAGGCGTGAACGGGCACTGTTTGCGAAGTGAAATTTCACAAGTGTGAAAGAAGTGGGTCGAACGAACGAACGAACGAACGAACGAACGAACGAACGAACGAACGAACGAACGAACGAACGAACGAACGAACGAACGAACGAACGAACGAACGAACGAACGAACGAACGAACGAACGAACGAACGAACGAACGAACGAACGAACGAACGAACGAACGAACGAACGAACGAACGAACGAACGAACGAACGAACGAACGAACGAACGAACGAACGAACGAACGAACGAACGAACGAACGAACGAACGAACGAACGAACGAACGAACGAACGAACGAACGAACGAACGAACGAACGAACGAACGAACGAACGAACGAACGAACGAACGAACGAACGAACGAACGAACGAACGAACGAACGAACGAACGAACGAACGAACGAACGAACGAACGAACGAACGAACGAACGAACGAACGAACGAACGAACGAACGAACGAACGAACGAACGAACGAACGAACGAACGAACGAACGAACGAACGAACGAACGAACGAACGAACGAACGAACGAACGAACGAACGAACGAACGAACGAACGAACGAACGAACGAACGAACGAACGAACGAACGAACGAACGAACGAACGAACGAACGAACGAACGAACGAACGAACGAACGAACGAACGAACGAACGAACGAACGAACGAACTTTGTAAAACGATATAGAAATAGACACACTTAACTACTACTTTGATATAACGTGTATATATATATGTGTGTGTGTGTACACATATATATGTATTTATATATATGTGTATATATATATATATATATATGTATTTAGATACAGTATTTAGATTCGAATTTATATGCATTACGAAACTTTTTAAAGGAATATAATACAAAATTCTGATATTATAGAAAACAAAGGAATAAAAAAGAAAGAAAGAAAGAAAAAGAAAAGAATCATTTTTCACATTTCTTAACGCTTAAATAATCGTTAAAATTATCTGAGGAATTCGAAGCATTATATCCGTGAGAGTTTTAAATTAAAATCGCTTTGGAATCTTTTTAAAGTGGCGCTCCAAAGTATCACGTGACATATGACA